GTTTAGATTGTCAAAAAGCCTGTGTTTTTAGGGTTATTAACAAAGTTCGTGTACTCAGACCAGTAATATTTGGGGTCACAAGTTTTTGCCGTGGATATTTTGTGGGTCAGAAGATAAAAAGTTTGGGAACCACTGCTCTAAAGCACTAATAGGGGAACTAATTCCTTGTTTAGTGCTTTTGCTAATTTTAGAATTTATTAGTGAATTACTAATTATTAAYGTTATCAACATTTAAAGACCTCAGTTGAGGATGAAAGCTGTCACACATTTTGTTCAAATGTGTGTCACTTATCCAATCCTGGTCCTCAAGTACCCCATTCAGCTTGTTTTACTTGTTTCCCAGCTCTTCAGCAGGTCTTCAGAGGATTGTTAATCACTCATTCATTCAAACCAGGTGTGTCAAATCAGGGAAACATAAAAAAATAACTGCTTTAAATGTTGACCAACACCTCAAGAGCTTCTCTGAGCTTGATGAGACATTTTCAAAATATAATATTGATTTAGTTTTATGGTATTTTTTTTAGTATTGCCTCTGGAAGCCATTGATTCTGCCATTTATTTGTAAATAATAAATCAGATAACATGTATTAAAGCAGTGATTCTCAACTCTGTTCCTCAAGGACTCCTTTCCTGCATGTTTAGATGTTTCCCTGATTTGACACACCTGGTTTGAATGAGTGAGTGATTAAGTCTTCTGAAGACCTGCTGARTAGCAGGGAAACAAGTAAAACATGCTGGATTAGGTCCTTGAGGACCAGGATCAGTAAGTCTTCAGAGAGCAACATAACATGTGACTCATGCTGTCTGTTGAAGAATGTTCATGGGTTCACCGAGTTATTTTAGTGCTTTAGAATTAGCTTTTGCTACTTTTTTCAGTGTGTTAGTGCTTTAGACTTAGGGGACCTAAATATATGAGTTAGTCTTTTAGGGCTAGTGAAACTAATTTTTAGATTAGTGCTGCCCATCACTGATGATACTTTCCTTATGATTCAGACACCTGTTTACACACGACGCACTAATCCAGCCTGGAAAAATAAATGCTGTATTTTCTTTGGCTACAGTGGAAATAAACACATCGATGCATTATTATCTCGTCTTTGTTGTACCTCAGTGCCATGGATTAATGCTATTCGTAACTGGCCAGGTGGAAAAATAGATCATGTTTCCAATGTTGAATAATTAATATGTAGTAAGTTTACAATCTCACTGCATGAATGAAAATGCTTAGATTTTTTTTTAAATTGGATATGTTCATAAGGTAAAATAAACTGTGCTCTTCCTTGTTTGGGGGTTAACAAATTATTTTAATACAGGGACTTTGTTCCTGGTTTTGGAGTTTTATTCTGAATTAGAAATTAAAATAGTAGGGTTTTACTAACTACTGCCTAACTATCACGCCTCGTTAAATCTATAACAATAAACCAGGATAACTTTGTAAAGTAATACAAAAATATTTTATTTTAATATGGCAGTCAGTTCAAAACAAAAAAATGTGACACAAAATGCAGCTTGTAGAAAAAATACAGAACTCTTAGGCATGTTTGTATCCGACTCTGAACGCGGGCTTTAGCTGACTTTCTGGTCCGATGAGCTGTTTGAGTACGAGTATGCCTTTCCTAGGACGATTCTGTCTCTGAGGAGCTTGAAGAAGGCGTAGTAGTTGCTGAAGAGGATCAGCGCCAGCGATATCGTCTGGTGCCACTTTTCTGAGCATATCAGCGAGTAGAGCTGGTAGAATATCATGGCACCTTCGAGGATGATGAGTATGTTTAATATCCGTAAAGGCTTGTTGAAGAAGAACTGAGGGAAAGAAATTGGACAGATCAGCAATGATCTTTTTATAAATGTGACCCATCACATCGAAACGAGGATTAAGTCTAAAAGTTAAGTGGAGAAATAGGCAGTTGGTGTTTTGATCAAAACGCTTGCAAAAATTCATTTAGTCAAAATATAACAAATAAATGTGTTTTCAATGTATCATTTCAATGAACTGTCTGAAATATTATCCTAAAAAA